GTCTCTCTCTGTCTCTCTCTGTCTCTCTGTCTGTCTCTCTCTCTCTCTCTCTCTCTCTGTCTCTCTCTCTCTCTCTCTCTCTCTCACACACACACACACACACACACACCCTTTTCATATACCAAATACTTGATGTGAATTTCTGAGTAGAAACAAAGGCAGTCAAAACCAACCAGGGGCAGCCTCCTTCCTGGTCTCTCCTGTGCTGTAACTCTGATGGCAATGGAACATTGAACTTACCATGTATTCACTCTCTGAGGACAACATGGGCGCCCACCCAGTCAGCCTGTTGAACTTACCATGTATTCACTCTCTGAGGACAACATGGGCACCCACCCAGTCAGCCTGTTCCTTTTAACAAAATCATTTTGTCGAAGATTCACAGGCTCTGATATTGTCTCCACTTTTATGCCCTCCATTCTTTTTCTGGTATCAACTTACTATTTCTTAGACCCTGGGCTCAGTTCTTTCACTTATCATCTCATTTAATTTCACAATACACCTACTGGGCAGATACTATTTTTATTTAAAGATCTGTTAACTGAGCTTTGGAGAGGCAAGTCCAGTCCAAGGTAGTACAACTGCAGGTGACTAAGAACTCAGTTCCTAATTACCATGCTAAACGATCTCTCCAGTACTTTTGGTAAAGCATTTGAGGATGCAGTTAATTTGACTCAGAGGGAACCTACAGCTTTTACAGACATTTTATGTGCATTGATCTTTGTAAAGAGCCATTTACCTATGATTTTTTTATGATTATCACAACCACTTGTACAGATTATTTTCAATTTGCGGGGGCTAAGGGAACTATTTGAGAATCTTGAGCAAAACCCCATGAATCCCAAGTTCAAAGTCCCTAACGTTACACATCTTTCTGAAGCAGAAATGCTCCCTTTCTATCCCACCCCAGTGGTCATGCCTGTGAGTAAGCTGGCTGTGTGCTGACCAGGTGGTAATGCAGCCCCAGGTAATGCAGCCCGAGGGTCTTGAAAAGGAGAAGGGCTGCCCCTGAGAAGCCAATCCACTGTGTATTTCCTCCTTCCCAGAGGAAGGGAATCTGGGTCCATCTATCATGTCTCCAGTTCATCTCAGATTCTCTTCCCCAACAGGACAGATCGATACCCTAGCACTCATCCCAATCTCATGAGTAGTTTTAAAATGAAAAAAGAAAAACACTTCCTATTCACATGCATGCCTTTAATATCAGGAAAGTGATGACATAGAGACAAAAAGCACTAAATCAACTCAGTATCACCTTCACTCCCTAATATTGGTACAGACACAGGAATCCGTGTGGAAGACTCCGACAGTATTCTCTTTGTAGCCCTCTTTGTTTTGAACGATGGCAAACATGAGAAATACATCATGGCAAGAGCAAGGACAATGACCCAATGAAGTGCTGAATTTGTATAGTGCTTTATGCCTTTTCAAAGCATGTTCACATATATTAATTTAATCAACCCATACAACAGCCTCCTAGTTTACAACTGAGAATGAAGAAACCATAGAAAGCTTATTCAAACTCACACAGCTGGTAGTGGGACACCTGGGGCTGAGAATCAGATGACATGGTTGGTCTGGCAGTCCCAACAGGTCGCTCAACAGTGCTCTATCCTCTCTATCCTACTGTCATGCTCTGAATTCTTCTCACTCTCTATACCCTAACCGCTTGTCAGTTAGCAATGCTATCCAACTAGATCTGGATTTCAAAAGAACAGAAATCCTTCTCTGACAAGTACACTAGATATAAAAATAAATGCGGCACTCTCCTTTATTGCTTCTTTATGGATGTCTTTCCCAGATATAAAGGCCTTGTTGGGGACTAGTCCATTGACCTTTCACTTTTACATATACATAATCATCCTTAGTGATAGCAGAACCTTCACACCAGGAAATTATTTGCTAAATATTTCTCACTGTCTCACAGCTTGGCCTGTCAATCTTTCTCAGATGTAAGACATCTGGGCTGGTGCAACAAAACCCAGCAAATTCAAAGAGATGTTTCCCAGATGTGGAAGAGGAAGGCTGTCCTCAGGAGTCAGTTACAGGGCCAGCTCTGGAAATTCAAATTTCCCAAGAACCTTTTCCACCTGCATCTCACTATAGCTTTTAAACGACTGAAAAAGTGTCCAAGAGGTTGATCAGATAGCTGCATAAAATGCCAAGATAGCAGCCATGGGAAAGTAGCAATGGCCCCATGCTATGTGATCATGTGATGGTTTTCAAGACCCTGCAAGCAGACAATGGGGTGGGATCCACTTCAGATGTTCTCAGTCAGGTGAAGGACCTCACAGGCAGGGTGTCATCATCTTCAAGTTGGGGCTCATTCTTCTCTTGTCCAGTGTGGTGTCTAGGCACACCACTGAGCCCTTGACTTCAGCAAAACAGCAGAAATCCTGTTCACACCACTTCTGTCTTGTGAACGGTCACTGGCCCCAGATGTTTATTCGGGGAGGTGACTGGGAGAAAAGCTCGTTCCATGCCAGGTTTAGAAAAATCTGGAAAAATACTCTGTAGTCGTGCAAACTTCTAAAAACAGCGAAACAAAAGAGACAGATCAAGACATGAGATGCAGTGTGGGTCACCCATTCCTTAAAAGCTCACAGGACAGCTCCTTTGGGAAGCCCTAGTTGTACAGCTCACTTCTCTTGCACTGCAAGACACTTGCACCTTTTCCTTGGCATCGTCACATTTTAGCCAGGAGATTCACTGATTAAGGACTGCAGCCATTTCAGGCTCCTGGTAGAGATCTGTATGGAAAGCTGGCACCTGTGGAAGCAGGCATTTGCCAACGAGAAGTGAACATCCCTCATGTTTTAGAAGCTACTGCCTGGAAAAGAGGACAGATTCATCCCTGGGTGTCTGGACTTGCTCCCTCACTCCTACGGAGGACTGGGCCTCTACTCTGGGCTAATGGACGGTCACATTGTGACTTCACCGCTGTTACTACGTGGCCCTCTGGCTTTTAGTAGAATCCTTTGGCATTTCTCAAACTTTCTTCACTTGTCTGTCTTCATTTGCTTTTCACAAGTGTCAACAAAAAAGCAAGCTGGAACCATCTTGGGGAATCTTCCTATCATGATCTTTCCAGTGTGGGGGTTTCAGTAAGTCCAAGGGCAAGAGAATCATTCCGCATTATTAAGTCATTCACACTAATACAAAACATATTAGCACTGTGATGATATTTTCATAGTAGTAGATGTTTTAAACAGATACTCACGCAGGTGAAAATGATGAGTGTTAAGTAGAAAATGACCAGTGAGAAGAGCAGGACAATCTCAGCTCTGTATTTCTTGAAAGTTGACTCTTTAGGCTCCTCAAAGCATCCTTTAAAGAAAAGTAATATATGAAGCCATTTTAACAGGATTTTTCTACCTTAGCACAAGGTAAGGATGCTCTGTTCCTACTTCCTCCAGCCCTCCTCACCGTCCCCTCTCCTACTCTCAAGTTGTGCATCAAGAAGGACTCCAGTCATTATCCTGGTGATGGCAGCAGTGAGTATTCACTGTCACTGTGCCCAGCTGTGTACCAAGGTTACGCACTATGTCCCTAACCTTCAGAGCAGCTCCGAGTCCTCACATTACTAAGAAGCTGAAACTCAGAGAAGCAAAGGATGGAGTCATGCGACAGGGACAGGCATTCGTTCAGATGTCAGGCCTTTCTGGCTTCTGTGTCCACCTCAGATGGCCACCATGTGTTTATCCCTAACTTACCTTAACTTCTTCCGGTTAGGGACACTGCTGTGTGTCCTCACCCAGGAGGACTCATGACTGTGAAACGAGATGGGGAACTGTCTTGCTACTGCATAAGAAAGTCAACCCATTTTGGAAGAACCTGAGTTTTTCCACAACCCTGTGGCACAGGGAGTGAGAACAGCTCCCCCAGGGACTTTAAGGGCTGTGGCTGCAGCACTGGAGGAGGAGGGAGGCCCCACTCAGGAACGGCCAGCTAGGGGACACCACGTGCAACACACAGATAGTTTGGCTTGGGCTGTGGTGTAGTTGCTAAGGGAATCTGTTTATGGCCCAAGCCACAGGTGGTGGGCAGATGATCCCAGAGAGCTCCTCCCTTGGGCCCTATGAGTTGGAAACTGGACCCCAAGCTACATGCAATAGTCTAGGGATGGCTTGTCACCTGGGTCCTTAACACTAAATGAGCATCCAATCTACTCCAGGTGCTGCCCCTCAGCATTTTAATGCAACATCTTGTTTAACCTTAGGGAAGAGCCTAGGTTGTAGACATCATTGTCCCTGCTGTAGAGATGATGCAACTGAGGCTTACAGTAGCCTGGTGATGTGCCCAGGCCACATGCTAATGAGAAGCAGAGTTAACGTGTGATCCAGACCTAGTGATCCCAGTCTGCCTTGAAAGAGGAAAAGGAGAGAAAGTCAGCTGTACTCTGATCATTTCTCTCCCTCTCCACAGAGCTTACTGCTCCTCTCCCTGCAAGGCAGCTCTCATTTCCCTTCCAATGGAGTGATATCTATTGAGGGCCTACTGTGTGCTAGGGCAAGCAGAGAACAAAATAGTTCTTACTTTCTTAGGAAAGATGGACAGTAAACCAATCTGTGTGTAGTATGTCAGAGTAAAAGTGCCACGAGGACAAAATAAAAGGGTAAAGGGCTGGAGATGGGAGAGAATAGTAGGGGTGTGTGTGTGTGTGTGTGTGTGTTATGGTGACTTAGTTCTTGTGAGTTTCAGAATATTAGCTTAACCCTAACTGCTCTCAGATAATTGATGTCAGGAGAAAGTAGGTATTATGCAAAACCAGGGGCTGTAGGACAACACGTTTCTCATTTCCAGTCTTAGCCTTTAACAAGTATTGAGCAAAAGTCAACACATAGTTTAGACAGCATAAAGAAAAAGTTAAGACATTTTTGTGGCAGAATTCAGCTGTCAGCACAGCTGTGAACCAAAAGCTGCAGAATTAGTCTCCAAAAAGAGAAGATCAGTTTCAGGACCTACAGAAAGTGCACATGAATTTTGCAAGAAGAAAACAAGTACAGCAGGTCACCTCACCTGTCACTTTCAAAGTCACCATGCCACTGAGGTTTCTGTGCCCTCCCAGCTCCTGCAGAGTGCACCTGTATGTGCCTGAGCTGCAGCTGGTAGTGTTTTGGATCTTCAGAGAATAGGGCTTTCTTTCAGGGGACTCAGAAGAGTTGTTTTGCCTCCTCTGATGAGAACTCTGTCCACTGAGGCGCAGATCTTCCTGGGGTGACTCCAGTCTCTCCTCGCCACCTTCTGTGAGCTGTGGAGAAGCAACCAGTGCATTGTGTTGACACCTAGGGTTTGCATCTTGTTTTTAAAGAAAAACCCATCCAAAATTCATGTTTCTAAAACAAGAGATGGTGCTTTTTTTGTATGTGTGAACTCTGAGGGAGAAGAAGAGAATCTATAAAAATGCTTTTAAGTCTATATTTTCTTTGGAATAAGATCAGGACTGCTTTTTATCACTCTAGTGCCAATATCCTAACTTCCATCCCATAGAAGGGAGATAGTGTCGCTGCCAACGACAGTCATGTGTTAAATATGAATCACTTTGGATATGCATGTGTTGTTGCTGGTTCTGTATTAAATGTTCTCATTTTCTTCTTACACCAACTCACATGCATTGATGGGTTCTTGATTTGAACCTCAGCCTTTTATTTGGAAAAGCTCCTGAATCTGTTAAGATCATTGCCAGATAACTCAACTGCAGACAGCACAAAGCCCTCCATGAATCGTCACCTTTTTCCTCAAAGGCCATGCATGTGTGGGGTTGGGTCCTACATCATGGAAAGTGCCACACTTTTCTCTCTGCTAAGGCAAGAAGAGAGCTGAGGAGGGTGTTGTGTGGAGGCATAGCTATCATCTCTTACCCAGGTAGACAAACTATCTTTGGGACTCAATCGGTGCAGTGTTTTCAGCATCTCCTACTAAAAAGATGTGGCACATGCCATATTCACCATAAATTCTGTTTGGTGGCACCTGGCAGTGGTCAGTCTCCTATTTGGGGAGCACTCTGCAGCTCTTCTCTGACTTTCAGAACAGACTCTGGGTAGGGGAAACAGACAACCAAGGGATTCAGGAAACAGCCTCTGAAAGAAAATGCATACACTCACATGTGTGTGTGAGCAACACACACATGCATACACACACGCAAGAGCCATTTCCATTTCACATATTAAGTTAGGGACTGCACCACAAGGTCACACAAAGCTCGGGTCCCACAGCCTTCCCTGTGCTCTCAGGCTGGTACAGTAGGTTACAGAGACATCTGGTGGCAGATTTACCACTTACTCTGCAGCAACTGAAAGAAAGGCTCTGCCCAGGCTGAGTCTATATACATAAATCCCATTTCTTGAGGTTCCTTCTTGTGCTCAAATGCTTTTTCCTAAATAGTCAAGAATCTATGGGAGGAAGCTAAAAAGCTGGGGCCTCTGGTATTCAAGATAAAGCAGAAAAGGAGGTGGCTGAGGAAGCTTGGAGGAAACAAAAGGCATCTAAATGATTCCAGAACACACTAAATATAGCACAACTTTTTCCTTTCCAAGCCTAAGAAACCACTGACTGCGGGCTCTGCATTGTTCTCACCGTCAGTGCCCAGCAGAGTCGCTTCCTTCCACCAGCCAGAGCTTGGGATGACTATGGAGCGCCAGTCCCTGCTTAGCGCTGCGCCTAAAGCCAGCTTGAGCTGACTAAGCCACCTCTGTTTCCGCATTCCCTGTGCTTCTCCTTTCTACATTCACCTCTAAATGCAAATGTGGCTGCAGTGACCGTCTGGAGATGATCCATCTACCTCTGGTCTTCTCCCAGGGAGCTTCTCCCATCCAGCCACCTGGAAAGTGGGGATCAAAACCTGCAAAGACCCCTGCAGGCATCTGTTTACCTAAAAATGGCCCCATCACTCAGCCAGCTAAAGCAAGGAGGTGCTTGTGATCAGAACCAGTGAGCAAGAGCTTCCTACCTATTTGCAGAGAGGAAGTCACCTCAATGACCAGCAGATGTAACATCAAACAGACATGTTTGATGGTCAGATTTCCATGGGCCTTTGATAAAAATTCCAGTTTTTGATTATTTTTAAATGGCAACATAAAGGCGAGGTGAGACATTAAAGGCAGAAAGAAGAATTGAAGTGAACTGTAAAGGAAATGCCAAAGCAACATCTTGCAGAATTCTGATTTGCTGAATCAGTGCAGCTCTTGGTGGAATCAGAGCAAAACACCTCAGATCTTGCAAGATCATCTTGTAAAGATCCTCTCTCCTGATTGAAGCACAGAACTAGAGAACTAGCTTGAGAACTCCAGCCACACAACTGAACAGCACTCTTTGTCCTCCAACTTGACCATAGTAGCATCCTCTTATCTAAGGGAGAAATGTTCCAAGACTCCCCGTAGTTGCCTGGAGCTTTGGATAATACTAAGCTCTCCATATAATTGTCCTACATATACATACATACAGTGATTAAGCATAATGTATAAATTAAGTCCTCGGTTTTTTTCATGTCTTCCTCCCACAAATGTATGCCTTTTCCATCTTGCACAATGTATAAAGTAAAAGTTATACAAGTTGTATTTTTCTCTTTCACAATTTCAGGGATAGGAGATTAGTTCTAATGATAGATTGTAGCTATTTCAGCATCAGACTTTGTTTCTTTCCTTATTAAGTGAAGAACTTTTACCTTTTCACTTATGGCTTTTGTTGGGCCTATGTGAATTGCCAGCATCCCTATTCTCCCACTTTGGGGTCATTTTATGAAGTAAAATATTGGTTATGTGAACACAAGCCCTGTCGATCTGTTAATGAAAACAAGTCACTAAGTGAACAACAGGTGGGTAGCACATACAACATGGATGTGCAGAACAAATGGATGGTTCATGTCTAACTGTGGACAAAATGTGAGATTTCATCTTGCTATTCAGAACAGGAAGTAATCTAAAACTCATGAATTGCTTATTTATGGAATTTTCCATTTAATATTTTTAGATCATGGTTAATTATGAACAACTGAAACAAAAAAGACCAAAATGATGGATAAAGTGGGACTACTAAATGGAACAAAAGATGTTCTTCAGGGTCATACAACATACCTGGAAGTGCTTCATAGCTCTCCCTCCAGCTTCAAGGTTTAGGTCTTATACAATGGTCATTTCCCTTTCATTTTGTCATTTTAAGGTACACTTTCCCATGTCACTCTACCTGACGAATACAGGATATTCCCATAGCTACAAAAGTAGCGGTGGTTGTTATGTTACTATTTTGTGCTCAAAATGAGATCAGGGCACACTAATGGGGTTAATGAACTTTTTATGAAAAGTTCAAATCATTCACAATACATAGGTGCCAAGGATACATCGCCCTGCCTCGTCAGATGAGTTAGGTAGGGCACATTTAGCACCAAGGACCAAAGGAGAAATTTCAGTGGAAGAACAGAGAAACAGCTCACGAGCCATCCTCAACTTTGCTCTGTTTCATGAGTTCTTATAAACACTGGAGCTGGCTCAAAATCAACCACTGGCAAGAAAGGTTCTTTAGACATTCCAAATCTAAAAGGGTTTCATTGCTTCTCTGCAAAAGCATCTAGGAAATAGTAATTTATAACAAAAGGAACCCTCAGAATCATTCGCAGCCAAGCATAATTGAAGGAACTCTTCAAAACACACTTCACAATGCTAATATTGTCGCACAGCACTCGAATGCACAGCACAATTTGGGCAAATTAATTCCTCAAAACACTCATCCCAATACCATTTTAAGAATCCGCACTCTGCACATTAACTTTCATGAGCTGACAACTTTGTTTTTTGAAGGAATTAGAAAAGAGCAAAATATGAGATTATCTCATTTTTAGAAAGCCTCTGGACTTTGACTTGTGTCAAGGCCACCAATTTAACTAAATAACTGAAATACCCTATCCTTTCTCTAAATTAGAGATTTGACCTGAAGGAAACCACAGCCCTAAATTAAAATAGACTGTCTTTAATTTGTTGACTGTTACATCAAGCAAACACAAGGACTGTACTAATTTTAAGGGAATGTGAGGTAAGCAGATTTTGTTGTTGTTGTCATTGACGGACAATTTTGAACTAGAAAACAAAGTAAACAAATAAATAAATAAACAGCTGGAATTGAACCAACATTTCAATCAAAAATTCTAATGTGGCAAGTGCTTTTTAAAAGTTGACATAATTTTATTCAAATATGTGCCAATCTCCTGATTATCATATTTGAATAAAAGAGGACAATCATTCCATTCCCACAGCAAAGCAAGGGCTTTGATCACAAACTTGAAATACAACTTTATCATACATTTGATCTGTTAAAAATGTGATAAAAGCTTAACTAAAAGAAAAGGAGATTTCTTTTGAAGGGGGAAAATGTGTGCATATACATACGCACATAAATATTTCTTCTAAAATTTTGATAAAACAGATTTAAAGAGAGAGATTGTAAGTATTCTGAGGTGGCTTTAAATTAATCCAATGTATTCCAACCACATTGGAGCAGCTTTTTTTATTGCATCTCTTGTGCACTAACATTCATGTACCTTGGTTTCTAACTCAATTAAAGTGCCAATATAATCCCCATTCATCATAAAAACAGCTCTTTACATCGTGCAAAATAGTTTGGCTGGGAGGTTGATGTCATAATGAGGGTAGAATGTATGAGCATTAACATCGTTTTTTTCTAAGTGTAGTTTTATTAGAAAAATGATTTTCCACTTTGAAATTTACTGGGTCTAACAGACAGAGCTGGATTTATGACTATTAACAAGAATTACGAGGAGAGCAGAGGCAGCATAATTAAGAGCTCAAGCTTTGGAGCTGGAACCATCCCTACCCCTACCATGGCTCCTTCTGCTCTTGGCCAACTGGCTGCACAGCTCCCAGACTGGCTCACTCTGCTGGGGCCTGGAGGGCTTGTGTCTCACGGAGTAGGTATGAAGATATTTTCAATGATGTATGCAGACTGTAACCATAATACCAACCCCATGGAAAGGCTATAAATGTTACTATTCTTTTTTTAATAGCCAGGGTTCTATTCAGTATGTTAAACAGTTCCTTGCCCATAGGGAGTATGAATCTACTAGTGAATGAAGGGATTTTAGAAATAATGGAAAAATTATAAGATTACTGGCTTTGGAATCAAAAGGCTGAATCAAGTCCCAGGTTTTCATTAGCTAGCTAGGTCATCTCCAGGAATCACTTCACCTCTGAGTTTTAGACCCTTGTCTGGAAAAGGATTGTTGTAAGAATCAAATGAGGACACACGTGAAAGGGCCATAGAGCTCCAAGTTCACATTCTTTCAGAGCCCCCCCCCCAAGTGGCTGTAGAGGAGGCACATTTAACTGGGTCTGATGGGCACATGACCCACCTGAGAATAATCAGACATTTTTGGACATATTAGAAGAGATGCATGGCTTTACCTTTGCAGTTGTATTTCAGAAAGATACACAAATCGGTATATCTCACTGCTACATGGAAACTGGCAAGAAAATCAACATAGAGGAAGAAATTGCTGAAAGACGGAAAATTACTGAGCCCTGGGGATATTTAACAGCATCTAAGTCTAGTGGCCTTTGCCTGTGAGGACCACAACCAACTGAAGGGCTTAATACAACATAAATGGATTCTCTCACAGTTCAGAAGGCTTGAAGCCCAAAATCAAGGTCTCTACAGGGCCTCTTTCTATCCCCCCACCCAAAAGCCTTAGGGGGAAACCTCTTCTGTGCCATTCTCTGAACTTCTGGTGTTGCTGTCAGTCCTTGGCTTCCTGGGCTCAGAGACACATCACTCCAATCTGTATTGGTGTTCTCCTTGTTTGTGTTTATATCCATCTTATTTTTTTATAAGGACACTAGGCGTAGTGATTAGGGCTCACCCTAGTCAGGTATAACCTCATCGTAATTAGATTATATCTGCAAAGACATAATTGGATTATATCTGCAATCATGGCCATCTTTCCTACACAAACGCAAACACAAACAAACTTAGCCATTTTCCCCAGAATTGTGGAAAGAATTAAATTCATGAACCAAAGTGCCACTGTACCAGGGTTTAGGACTTCAAAATATATTGGGAAGGGTGGCACAATTCAACCACAAAATAGGCTATAACTGAAATATGGGCTGCATTTTGATTTTTCAACATTTTTCCATTATAATTATACATCAGCTGATAAATTTCCTTTAAGAATGATTTGATTAGATTTGGCATCCTTCACAATTGCAAGAGTCCTAACTGACAGGGCTTGTACCACCACATAAATAACTACACGTGGCCCACAGCGAACTGTCTCCACGTGGCCCCAGCCCCAAGCCAGTCCTACTTTGAGCCCTGTGTACATAAACCCCCTACCCTCAGGAAATGAGACCCCACCCACAATGTCCAGTCCAAGGCGAAGATGACTGTGTATGGCAACTAGCATACTTCTTTCCCTCAAGGTCTTCCCTAACTGCATCGTATTTTTACAAAGCCAGCAGCTCTTCTGGGACACAGCCTCTCTTCGAAGACCATGCAGTAGACTCAGTGTTCTACGAACATGTCAATCGACATCAACAACCCTTGGCCTCCCAAGTCTGTACCAGTTCTGGCACACACAGAAATTTCACCCAGACTCACCTCCACACAAAATAAAGCAAGAAAGGAAGCGTGTGTTCTGGGGGTGTACAGAACCTTTGAGAAATATTTCGGTCCAGTTCTCATAGGAGGGAAGAAAGC